TCTTATAGACAGCATATAATTAGATTAAGTGTTTAATCTGTTTGGACACTTTCTGTATTTTAACTGAAGTGCTTAATTCACTTCCTTAAAAATGCTCCCAAGCACACAGCTCTTCAGCATTGGGCTTGGGAATATTTTAAAAAGCAAAACCTGGCCGGGTGCAGCGGCTCACGCCTGTAATCCCAACACTTTGGGAGGACGAGGCAGGCAGATCACAAGGTCAGGAGTTCAAGACCAGCCTGGCCATAATGGTGAAACCCTGTCTGTACTAAAAATACAAAAATTAGCTGGGCTTGGAGGCAGGCACCTGTAATCCCAGCTTCTCAGGAGGCTGAGACAGGAGAATCACTTGAACCCAGGAGGTGGAAGTTGCAGTGAGCTGAGATCACACCACCATACTCCAGCCTGGGTGACAGAGACTCGTCTCAAAAAAAAAAAAGCAAAATCACAAAACCAAATGCAATTATCCTGGCACCAAACAGACCTCGGAAAGGACACTGGTTGACCACATGAGGCTGAAACAAGGGGCCACAGTGCTGTCCTGTTCAACCTCAGCCAGGAACATGTGCACAGAGACGAATTTTTCGGCACTCCGTACAAATCTGTGAATGCCCAGAAAACTCTGCAGTATTGATTTGGGGGCCACAGGTAATTTTTTTGGTGACTTTTTTGTAGGGACAGGGTCTCGCTATATTGCCCAGGCTGGTCTTGAACTCCTGGGCTCAAGCGATCCTCCCACCTTGGCCTCCAAAGGTGCTGCAATTACAGACATCAGCCACCGTACCCAGCCTACAAATAAATTTGACCAAGTAGGTGTCATAGACTGAACGGAGTTCCCCCCAAATTCCTGTGTTGTAGTACTGACTCAGAACCTCAGAATGTGCCTGTGTTTGGAGCTGGGATCTTTCAGGAAATGAAGTTAAACAGAGGTCATTAGGGTGAGCGTCAGTGCAGGGGACCGGCATCCTTATAAGAAGAGGACGTCTGGACAAATTCCACAGAGACACACGGGGGACATATGCACAC